TAGAAATGAAACTGCTATGATACAGAGAAGTCCATTTATTCAGAGTTGGACCTTCAGAGGTGGAATACAGCTGATGCTATAGTTTGGCTTTAATCTTTATTAGATTTATTTGTAGGGGGAAAAAAAACTTAAATTTAAAATAAATATAAATTTGATATAGAGCTTTAGTTGCCCTAAAACAATGGTACATGTTTTATCCTGATACTGGATTTTGAAATTTATTTTTCTTTTAGAGTTCTTAATAATAATAATAATAATAATAATTCAACTTTATTGATCTCACATTGTAGAAATTCATCTCTGCATTTAACCCATCCCCTTGGGGAGCAGTGTGGGGTTAAGGGTCAGAGACCCAGAGTGGTAGTCTCTGGGAGTTGGGCTCAAACTCCGGACCTCTGAATTCCAAGCTCTATTCCCAACTCCTAGGCCGCCACTAACCTCTGCTTAAATTGGACTTCATGTCTCACCTGACAAAACATAGAAAACCAGGCAGTCCATCCTTCCAGGAGAATGCAGCACATTTCTATTAAAGAAATTACAAAGAATAAGACTTTGGAGTCTAGGTCATAAACAAACCTCATTAGGCATTCCCCAGTCTGCGGATCATCCAATCCTTCCTTTCATGGATCTAAACATGTCTTAATTCTAAGTTTTAAGACTTTGTTTTCTTTTTAATTTGAGTCATTTTTGAGTAATGTGAATATGCAGCATATTTGGTGGTTAGAACAGATTAAGGTTTTATATTAAAACTTAGATTTAGTTCATTCAAATGTTTCTGTGCTAGACCAAAAGTATGCATGTTTGATTTTTGAAGGTTTTCTGCCATCATTTGCAGCTTTGTATGAGAAAAAAACAAAACAAAAAAACAACCATGCACCCATGTTGAACTTCTAAAATATGCACTCCTTTATTAGTCAATCTCAAAACCAGAATATAGTGGGGAAAAAAACAAAATATTACCACTTTTGCAATAATAAAATCCAAAAGATGGTAAGGATCATAAATGGAAATCTATGCGATGAGGAAAAACAAGGGGCAGAAAGACAACTACAGATTGTTTTATCAGGATTTACGGACTAAACCTGTATCTAAGAAAAAAAAAAAAAAAACAATCTGAAGGCCTTTATCTCAACAACATGCAGTCACCATAAAGCATGCAGAATATCTCTCTGCCAAGTAATCATTATCCACAGTGGATAAGCACTCACATCCTGCACTGGGAGAAGTTCCCAGGATGCCACTCAGCCAATCAGATAAAAGTGTTTTAAATACCCGCTCTTCATCTGAAGAGGCCATCCTCTTCACTCAGACCACCATCTGGGAGTCCAACCTGATCATTAAAGCCAAGAGGAACCAACACACACTCACATACCAGACATGTCTCCATGCTGATGGAGGATTTTTATGTAAAAATAAAACAAAATATGACAATACCTTCTAATGCACTTCTGAATAACCTTGAGCATCCATGTGTGTCTGAGACAAAATATCTGGAGAAGGAGACTCGCTGACATTCCTTAATTACAGAGTCCCTTGGTGATGAAATCGAGGAAAGGAAATCAAGGTTGGAAGTCAGACCCAGAGGTTTTATGGCCTCGACCATGAGACAAATGCATTCATCTTTAACTATGCAAAAAGAGACTCGATCCCAAAAGGCATAAATAAAAACATACCATAAAAGGAGGGAGGAGAAGGAGAAGTTGGCTTGGATGCAGTCTGATGAGAGATTATCTCTCTCTAATGGCTGACTTGTTGACTGCAACACTTTTCGCCACCCCCATCTACACATCTAATGTTACCGTGGGCCCCAGCTCACAGCACACCCAGAGACGTGCACTTCCTCTCCTCCTTGCAGGGTTTATCAGCCCTGTTGTCAGCTGCCTTAGGGATTTATGAAGATATCAGACTCTGAAACCATGAAAACCACCAAGCGAACCGGAGACGTCACCGTCAGAGCTTCCTCTCTGCTCCCATGCAGCCGACGCATGCTGAAAACAAATCGACGATATGGGTTTACAAGCTTCAGCAGATGGAAAAGAAAAAGTCACTTCTTCTGCTGCATCTCTCATAAATCTGTCTCAGTGATTCACAGCATATTAAATAAAACTTTTGAATGACTTCCAGTCAATAAAATGTATTTGTTCCTCATCTGCAGACATATAGAGGGCTATTTTACCAATCAAAATAAATTCAATCACACAGACTTTTATGACCAGCTTCTTATGTTTAAGAGCGGTTTTTGCCTAAATTACAGTGAGTATTTGGGGAAAAAAATTAATATTGACTATAAAACTTGAGAATGAAGCTAAAGTAGTCAACACTTTTCCAAAAGGGTGAGAGAAAGTAATATGGCCTTTGATTATATTTTTCCTAAATGTTGTATGGTTACTTAAAAACTTGTATGTGTGAGTTTTCATGTTTGTGAATAAGAAGCCAAAAGGAGCAACATTGCATTTTAGTACATGGTTGGATTATGGGTTAAAAAGCTCTTCATGGCACAAATATGTAGAAGGCCTCCAACAATAGAGCAGGATCTCCAAAAAAGTCAAACTATTATCAAAGCAGATCCAGCTGCTTTTCTTTAGGCATTAGGAAAGTTTGGAGTTCGTCAATATTTATAATGAATAAATTGTCTTTTGGTAGGAAAACTTTTCATTCTTTCTGGCAATCATAACATTTTATCTTCTTATATCAGTATGTTCTTTCTGGTTGTTTTGCATCTTTTGTTTTCCTGTGGTGGAGATTTTCTTTTTATTAGATTTACATAATTTCTCTCAATGTTGCTCCATTTTTTGGCATTAAATGTATTCTTTTAACCAAAAAAATATTAAATCCTAATTTTTATATAGGTCTTAAAGCCTTTTATATAGTTTTATATTTTAGCTTTTAGTTAATGTGCCTTTGTTTGTTATTTTAGGCCTTTATGCTCAATTTAAATCAAGCTCGATGTGTTCGGCCTCTCTTTATCTCATTTAATATTTTTATTTAGACCATTTTCTTTTTCACTGAACAAAATTAGATTTGCACAAACTGTTAAATGGCTTAACTCTACTTTAAAAGAAAAAACATAAAAGTTGTAAATATTTTTTAAAACCATAAAGTTGCCATATTCCAACAGATAAAAATTGTCCTCTTTAAAGACAGATCCTTACATCGTTAGCAAAAGTCTGCTTTAGTAATAAATCTTAAAAGCTGTATAATAATCGATGCTTCAGTCTAGTTTCCATGCATGTTCAGTGTCTCTGCTTATCTGCAGCGCCAAAAGTATGTATATTTCTAAATTACAAATGCATATGCAAAGCAGTAAATCAGCGTGTTATATCATTTGTTATATGAAAGCTTTTCACACAGAGTGAGTCACTGCAGACACTTGTGTGTTTTATGATGGCTGTCAGAATGGTGAACTTGGTCCAGAGTTCCCTCAGAGCTGCAGTTAGTCAGACTTGGATTTCAAACAAGCCCCTGCACGGCCCAGATGAATGCAGAGCAATTTCTCTATACTGAGAGAAACATTTGTGCAAGATTTCGACCAAAATAGTCCTGGTCTGCACCGCAGAGCGGGAGAGCTGCCTTCATTTAGGTCGATGGGGTTGGCAGACACACACATACACACACAGAGACAGATAGGCTGCCTTTCACCACTGTCAAGGGTAGCCAAAGTCATATGGAATGAGACCGTGACAATGAAAACATTAGGGTCCGACATAAATTCTTTAAGTTTAGATAAAATAAAGTCTAAACCTTTTTCACCTTGACAACATGTTGAATAACTCAGAGTCGTTGCTCAAGTTCAAACCCATCATTTACATAAAAAAAAAAAAAAAAACTCCTACAGAGTTTAACTTGATGAACTCTAAGGCAGTGGAGCCACCAAATAGGGCTCCAAGGGACAGTGATCTTACATACATGTCCTGTTTTATGAATTTAGGAAAACACAACTTTAACAATTTTCCCCCACATTGTCGTCAAACTTACTAGTCAACAAATTAAAATACAACTACTTTTTTTAATTTATTTGTTTATTTTTTTTTTAAACTCTCCGCCAGGGCATCCTCCTGATTTGACTAATATGCAAGTTTGTAAGTTCAGCCATATAAAATTAAAGCAACTACAAATTTCTGAAAATTTGATTTAGGCTGCAAACAACAAATCAGCTGTAAATGACAGCTGAAGATGAACAGAAGAAGCTGCAGCTTTATGCCTACTTTTTCATGTAAATACGGCTAAAATCTGCCACGTTTTCTTTATTACATGCAAGTTAGGATTTGGTCAGCTCAAAATGATAAAAAATAAATAAATTTTAGGGAAGACAAATTATTATTCTCTGTAAAAAAAGGTCAAAAACTCAAAATCTCAGACATTTCTTAAAAAAAAAAAAAAAAAAAAAAAAAAAAAAACACACAACAACATGAAAAATAGTGGCTAAGCAACTGATGTTGGCAAAAGACGTTAGATAATCAAGAGCTGTAATAGACTAGGTTTTAAAATATATTAAGTGAAAGAAAACAGTTTTAAACTTAAAAATGTCCAGTTATACACTTTGAACATCAAACTTTATTTTAAAGTCACTGAAATAAATACAGAATGGAATCTTGTTAAATTTTAGTCAGTCAAGACAATATTTAACATTTTTTAAATGTAGAAAAAAAAGTTACAGCAGCAATACATCTACAATAAATAAGTAAATAAATGCTTGTCCAGATAGCTGGTACTAACTTATTTATTCTGTCAGCTGGAATAGCTCATGGTTCCAGTTTCAGTATTGGGTTTACATTTATAAGAACTGGGAATTTAAACCTCCCAAAACTTGATCGAAAGTACAGCAGTGATCACTTTTCTTTGGCTCCATGTGCCACCCTTTAAAAGGATGATGCCCTGGGTGGAGAGCCACCCTGCTGTACCTGACCACCCAAAGCTTCCTTAAAGAAAACTTCTAAAAAAGTTCAGAAAAGAATGAAATAAGTTAAAGAAAGTAAACTATCCAATCAGTTTCTTCCTACCGTGTCTTCTCTGGAGGAAAAACTTCAGCTCAGCTGTGCAGGAAAACTTTCTCCTTCCACCATCCGAAGTGTTGGAGTCTTTCTGTCCGGTTGCAAACTTCACTCACTGCTGTTTTTTCCAGGCTGCTCCAGCTCCTCTTTTATTTATTTATCTTTTTAAACCAGATGCGCACAGATTCCTTCCAGTGTCACTTTCTGAAACCCTTCCTTCCTGCTTTCATTTCACTCCTCGGTGTCTAAAGTCCTCCTCTTGGTCACAAAAGCGGCCGTTTTTATGAGGCGGTGCAGGGTGGAGGTGGTGGGGGTGTCCAAGCTGCAGCTGCTGCTGAAGCGATCCTTGGACACTGGTCCGGGTCAGTCCATAGTTGTCCCGGAGGGATAAAGTCCAGCTCTGCGCTTTCAGCAACAGGTGCCAGAAATAAAGTGAGATTTCTTCACAAGTTTGCAAAGCGCTTCCAGAGAATTACGCGCGGAGCGAGGAGGAGGAGACCAGCCGGCAGGGCTCCCCAAAGGTTTTACGCGCAGGAAAACTGAGCGAGAAGTTGGAGCTTCAGACGCAGAGGGAGTGGAGAGAGACAGCAGAGCTTTGGACAAGGTTTACCTTCTCAACTGTCCACCATCACTGAGGGACAGGAGGACAAGAACTTCCAGATGATCCAATGGAGAGCTGCTGATCATCAGCTTAATGAGACTCACCTGGGAGATGCTGCACAGCTGCAGCTGATCTACATCTCATACTGTACACACCGGAAGTGGCTGTTAACCAGATACTTTACCTGAGTATCTATTAAAAAATAAAAACTTGGTTAATAACTAAAGTAACATGTTTTTGGCCACTTTGCCTGCTTTGTGGCAAGGCAAGGCAAATTTAATTGTATAGCACAATTTAATATAGGAACATAAAACAAGAACAAAAAATGCAGAAACAAAAAAAGAATATTAAAAACAGTTGGACTAAAGAAAATAAAAAAAGTTGAACTAATGATGTTTCAGTTGAACTGATTAACTAGAACAGTCCAAGTCAATCCTAAACAAATGTGTTTTTAGTCTTGATTTAAAGGAACTCAGGCTTTCCGCACTTTTACAGTTTTCTGGAAGTTTGTTCCAGATAAGTGGAGCATAGGAACTAAATGCTGCTTGTCCATTTTTAGTTCTGGTTCTAGGTATGCAGAGCAGGCTGGATAGCAGGTCTGTGATGTATTTAGGTGCTAAGCCATTCAAAGATTTCTAAACTAACAGAAGTATTTTAAAGTCTATTCTCACTCAGAGGGTGTACACACACACACCAGTAATAAACACCTAACTCTGTGGTGCTCCTCCTCAGATATAGATGGTATCTCCACTACTTGCTTTCAAAGGTTTATGTTGTAAAAAAAACAAAAAAAATTTTTTGTTCATTTATTTTTCTATATCACATTTTAAATATGACTTCTTTGCTTGGAAAATACCAGAATTTCTTACATTGTTTAACATGTCTGATCTAACTTTATGGTCAAACTACTCATCAGTGCTTTGCCTTATTTACATTTATGACCGTTACTATATTAGTTGTCTTATTTATTTGGTTACAAGGTTTGAAAATCAATCTGAGGAAGAGATGCAGGGAAACCTTAACAGACAAAATTAAGCTATAAAAAATATTGCAAGAGAGATTTCCCCTCGCAACTCTAAGATCCCAGGAATCAATTTATTTATATTTAAAAGGCATTCTGACATCAAGTGACTGCAATTTGATTCTTGGTCAAAGTGATCCAGCAATATTTTGGTGGTAGTTTTTGGCTTTAAACCAACATTATTTAACTTTTCAACCTTCATAAAATATTTTCAGAACTTTTTTGATTATACATCAACTTACAACTAGTTAACTGACACCCCTGTCATGTTCCGAGGGGGTCTGTATCACTTTCACCAGCACTAAGCAACTTTCAGGAGGGTTGCACTAACCCTGCCACACAAAACAACTACAAATGTGCAGATTGCTTTATGGCACACATCACTTTCCACTTTGGAAGTTGATGTGATAAATTTCTCTGTGAGACTGTGGCCCTCTCTGAACATCCACCCTGACCCCTCAATCACTATATAGAGTGAGGACTTCGCCATCTTTGTTCTCTTTTGCCCCCAAAAATCCCATGATGCTTTGCGAGACCTTTTGCAAAGCCTTCCGGGATATATTTCCTTGTCTAGTGACTATGGATGAACACTAATTTTCAACGTGTATTTCGGAAAATTTTGAGTCCACATCTTTTTTATCCACTTGACATTTGGACACTCATAAAATGTCATAAGCCCTATATACTGCCGCAAATAGAGGTTAAGGTGGACATTCGGATGCAGCCTGTATGGCCGAATCCCAAACCGGCCCCTAAGCACTACCCCTTCACTATCAAGCGTCACTCCCAATGAAGTCACACCTGCAGCTGTGAAGGTGTCTTGATTGAAGGTGTAAGGGAGTATAACCGAGAACGGGATGGCCTCTTCCCTCCAGTGGAAAAGGAGAGCCTGCACTGATGTGGACTCACTATTTAAGCGCTTAATGGTCCACTCCCCTTACCCACTATTGCTTTGGGACACTCCTTAATAAGGCAGACCCTCCACGGGGACACAAAAACTAAGGGTTAGGGTTTAGGATTCAGACTTTATTCGTGCAAATTGTGCAGGGTTGATATACAGCCAATGTGGCACCTACCTGTTGGGATCTATACGTGTGTTTACTTTGAAATTATGGAAGATAACATATTTTTCTGTTTCAAGGCTCTAAACTCGTCAGCACGAGTCGCTGACGAGTCTGGTGAAGTGTGTATGTGTGCGGGGGTGCAGGAACACAGTATTGAAATAATGAAAAATAGAAACTACAATCATTTCAAATGATTTTTCATTTTACATCATTAAAGAAAATCTGTTCCTATCAACTTCTAATGGTAAAGCCATAGAGTTACTTGTTAGAAGGGGTAGATTTATGAGTTTTTTTTCCTACTATCTCAAATGGAAATGTTGAGTTTCTTAACCTTCCTTAAAATTTGAACTAGAGCTATCATTCTCAAATGAAGATTACAATGAGTATACAGCCAACAAACATCAGATGGGTTTTGCAAAAAAAAAAAAAAAAAAAAAAGAATTGTGTAGAAGCACAGTGGAGGATCTATGATGCTGTGGGCCTGTTTCTGCTCCAAAAGAATTGGACACCTCATTAGAGAGTGTAGCTTCATGACCTACTATCTAATTTTACTCTGAAACTATTAAAGTAGTGATAGATTTAGCCTTTATGTTTTTAAAAATATATACATACATTTAGAAATACAGATTGTCAGTTTGAGATAAATCCATTTCAATAAATCCATTTTTTAAAATGATACTTTTCAAGGTTACCAAAGAAAAGGCTCCACTCTCAGGGTGGAAAATTACTTGTAAGCTTCCGTGTTCTGTTAAAACACATGTAAACACTCAAAATAACTACAAATTAAATCTGTCATGATCTCAAGACACATTCTGATTAAAATAAGGAGACATGTTCAAATTTAACTCTAATCTGACACCTAGAAAATCTTCAGGAACAAACTACAAGCTATTCCTGGCATGGTTAACGGTTGTTTTGTTTCCACTAGACTTCTAAAAGCCTGTAGCTGTCTAATCTGTCCCTGTCTGCAGGGGGAAAAGCTGCCAGATTTTCTGGATTTGAACTCAATATAAATTTCCGACAGCTTGGACTGAAAACCAGCCAGCTGAGGGTTTAAAGGTGAGTCTCTTTGCCCACATGAACGAGTCTGAATCAGGCTGTCCCGCCGCTTTGTGGTTCAGCAGCAAAAAAAACTGACAGAACTGGAACGACAGAAAGGGAAAATGTCATCAGTGTTGGAGGATGTTTGGCCTGTCGGTGGCTTACAGCTTATTTTAGCAGCATTACTCCATGATGTTGTTTATTTCCCCTTAAAGAGCTTCCTCCTCCATTCCTCTTTGATACACGCATCCAGCAGAAACTACAGTAATCAATTAACTTCAGCAAACATTTATTAGCAAACCAAACCACGACCGTCATTAATCTTCATTTTAGCATCAAAATCCTTCAATCCAGCCTGATGTGTTGTGCAGGATGTCGGTTTCATTTTCTCTCAATCATCTTCTTCTCTTTTTTTGTCAGTCATATGTGATTCGATGATTTTTACCACAGTAGTGAAGGCACCTTTTTAAATAAAACAAAATGAGACCATACTTACTTACCCTAAGTGGTTTTCTCTAAAATTTCATCTTGTACAATCCTGTAAAGTCATACACAATTCTTCTCTATAAAAAAATCTGATTGCTAAAGTTAGTTTTCTTTACTGGATCTGGATAATTAAAATCCAATTTTTAGCTACTGCAAAGTTTCCAATCTGCACTAACTCAAAGCAGCGGGAAACTCCTCCCATCTGCTGCTCCCAGCAGGATAAAACCAACACAACTTCTGTTTGGCAGTACTTCTGTGCATCGCATCCCACACACTGTACAGCATTTTCACCCGATTTCAGTGTAAAATAGAGCAGCAGGCATAATCTACTCACTACAGGGGCAAATTTAGATTGAATTAAATCTGTTGAACATTCTTCTGAGCGGCGACATTAAAACCCCATTTCAGGCCTTCTGTTTCACTTTTAAAGAATAACTTGTAGAATAATTTGGATGCTTGGTCATAAAATATCTCTAGGTAAATAAATAGTAATGGAATACAAATATTTAAAATAATATATTTAGTCAAAACAGTTATCATTTTAATGCCTTCAACATTTAGTTTTAATTTGAAGTATTCCTATTTGCATTATGCTGACTTTTATCTAAATATATCTTGTGTTTGCAGTTCAAAATTAATCAAATTTGAAATAATTGGTAAAGTTTTCACTTGCTGTATAGAGAACAGATTAACCCTGTGCTGCTCCTCCCACACCTGTTACTCCATATTGCTGGTTAGCTGTCAGGAAATGGGCTCCTGCAGATTCTCCTTGCTTACAAACTTGCTTAATTTGAGACATTTCCACTTCCACTAGAGCAGGCTGCAGACATGCAACCTGAGCAGAAGCCAGTCTAATAACCATGCTAATATGAAAATAGCTTGGTAAAGTTCTGGGTACTTTTATATGAATATGCATGTTTACCTATATTTAGCTGCTCTTTAACTCAATTCAATTAAGCTTATTTATATAGTGCATGTTCACAACACTTGTCATCTTGAAACAATGTACAGAGAAAATACTGTCACACAAGTTAAAAGTTTCCATTAAGGAAAACCAGCTGATTGCATCCAGTCATTGATTTACAGGCTACACTCCTCCTGGATGAACTTACAGCAATGATAGTCGCTTGCATTTTTTCGTTGACTCTTCAGCAATTCCTCACACTGACCACACTGGACAACAAAAACTCACTTTTAACAGGAAGAAACCTCCAGCAGAACCACGATCAGATTGAGTGGTCTTCTGCAGAGACCGACTGGGGTTCAACAAGAGAAAAGCAGACATACAAAAAGAAGCAAATATACAAAACATACATAACTAAAAATGTAAATAACTAGTTCCACAGGTGGCCAAGTCCAGGAAAGTCGAGCCACATTCAAACAGGAAAAGACTAGATGAAGCTACTATGACAAGAAAAAGAAGAGACAACATAAATTTAGGGGATCAACTAAAATATACATCAGAATGGCAGAATAGAGATGGAATGAAACAGAATGATGAAAAGTGGTCCCTATATCCTCCAGCAGCCTAAGCCTATAGCAGCAGAAATATAGAAAACAGGTTAGGCTAACATGACTATTTTGGTTAAAATATGAAACTGACTTTATAATCTTTCTATGATAACAACAATTAATTCATGTTATTAATAACAT